TGGGCTGGGTGGGCCAACTTAAGGGCTCTTCTTATGCTCTTATATTCTTTCAATGTCTCAGTGTTTCTTTCAATGTTTACTCCTTCCGATTCTATATTACATTATTATTAATTATTATTATACTAATTTTTCTATCACCCTTCCTCCAAAGAACACAGGGCGCTTGACAATGTAAAAATAAACATTAATAATAATAATAATAATAATAATAATAATAATAATAATAATAATTTATTTCTACCCCGCCCATCTGGCTGGGATTCCCCAGCCACTCTGGGCGGCTTCCAACACAATATTAAAATACAGTAATGCATCAAAAATTAAAAGCTTCCCTGCCTTCAGATGTCTTCTAAAAGTCTGGTAGTTGTTTTTCTCTTTGACATCTGGTGGGAGGGCGTTCCACAGGGCGGGCGCCACCACCGAGAAGGCCCTCTGCCTGGTACCCTGTAACTTGGCTTCTCGCAGTGAGGGAACTGCCAGAAGGCCCTCGGAGCTGGACCTCAGGGTTAATTCTTTGTGACATTTCATCTCCACAACAACCCTGTGAGGTAGCCTGACCCACGCAAGGGTCACCCAGCGAGCTTTGTGGCCGAGGGGGGGGGTGATTCGAACCCTGGTCTCGCAGGTCCCAACCCAACGCTCTGGCCTCTACATTGCTCCAACCCCCCCTCCTCTCCTGCCTACTCCTTTCCTTCAGGGGCCGCTCAGACCTGGTTCCCTAAAAAGCCTGCAGAATTATAATAATAAGAAATTTTCACTGCCAGCGAAACGATTGCCGCTTAATTGCCACAAATGCCCTGCCCGGATCCACTCAGCCGCTTTGTGAGAGAGCTGGGTGGGCTCCCTCTCTCTCTCTGTCTCTCTGGCCTTTTGGCAGGCTATTGACGGGCTCTTGATAGCTCCCTTTGTCCTACAGCCATTTCTCCTTTCTAGTCTACAATTTTCTACTTCTCCTTTTCTTTAAAAGATAGCCCTTTCGGGGAGAGAAAGAGGAGGAGAGAGTAATTTTGAAAATAAAAGCACCAGTCTGGGAATGAACAATTGCAGGGCGGGTGTCTGAAAATGAACAACATTTCAAAGTCTCTCTTCTCCCCCCTCCCCCCCCCCGCAGCGCTCCCTTCACTTCCCAAAAGGTGTGCCGAGGCTGCCTCTGAGATCCACATCCTAAGGTTGCAATCCTGTGGGTGCGCTTTCCCCTTTCAATTCAGTGGGACTTACTCCCAGGTAAAGTGGGTACGGGATTGCAGCCTTTATCTGCAAGCCCCCCCCCCCCCAGCAAAGAGGCACTCATTCAGTTTAACAAAGTTCACTGAACTAGTTCAAAAATCTCGAGAAAGGAGTCCCCGGAATTTCCAGGTGAACTGAAGGTGAATTAACTTCATCTGAAGGTAGGACTTCGATTGGTTTCTTGCTCAGTTTTGTGACATTTCTCTTGCAAGTGGTTTTCCTTGGGCCCTGAAGCTTAAAGATAATAATTTTGGGGGATAGAAGAGTATATTAAACCCATGGGACCGCCTCTCCTGGTATGCCCGACGGAGGGCCTTAAGGTCCACAAATGACAACACCTTGGTAAAGGTAAAGGGACCCCTGAAAATTAGGTCCAGTCGTGGCTGACTCTGGGGTTGTGGCGCTCATCTCGCTTTATTGGCCAAGGGAGCCGGTGTACAGCTTCCGGGTCATGAGGCCAGCATGACTAAGCCGCTTCTGTTTACCTTCCCGCCAGAGTGGTACCTATTTGCACTTTGACGTGTTTTCGAACTGCTAGGTTGGCAGGAGCTGGGATTGAGCAACGGGAGCTCACCCTGTCGTGGGGATTCGAACCGCCTTCTGATCGGCAAGTCCTAGACTCTGTGGTTTAACCCACAGCGCCAACAGCGTCCCCACCTAACTCTGTACAGCCCCACCAAAAAACAACAGGTCTTCAGAGAAGCTATGCCTGAGATTAGAGTGAAGCCAAGCATTATTTCTCTTCCATAAACCTGACACGTGGGGCAAAGCTAATGTCCTCCCCAAAATGTTGCTAGGATTGCCAGGTCAGAAATAAGTATCCCAGACCCTGAAATTCCAGGGCTAAGACGCAAGACCCGGGGGGAGGCACACTCACAATCCTCTCCTCTTCTTGAGCCCAGCCCAGGCCCCCCCCTTTCCTTTCTGCTCCTTCCCAACACTGAGCCCTGGAGACGGAGGTTAATAGGGAGAGGGGAGGGGGGAGCAGAGGAAGCCAGACCCCCACTCAAGAGAGTCTATGCAATAATTTGCAGCCCAATCCTGCCTAGCTGAATCCTGCAAGCTACACAGTCACACAGTTACAGTACGCACACACGCACACACACACACTCTTCAGGTCAGCCCTGGGGGTCTGGCAAACCTAGTGCCTGTTCCCCCAAAACATTTACCGTATGTTTTGCTCTATAAGACTCACTTTTCCCCTCCTAAAATGTGAGGGGAAATGTGTGTGCGTCTTATGGAGCGAATGCAGGCTGCGCAGCTATCCCAGAAGACAGAACAGCAAGAGGGACTGCTGCTTTCACTGCGCAGCGATCCCTCTTGATGTTCTGGCTTCTGAGATTCAGAATATTTTTTTCTTGTTTTCCTCCTCCAAAAACTAGGTGCGTCTTGTGGTCTGGTGCGTCTTATAGAGCAAAAAATACGGCATTATTATTCTTGCTGGTGCAGTCACTGACAATTTTACTGGTGCATAATTCTGTCAAATAAACTAGAAGTGGCTCTTGCATTCCTGCACCCCACTTTCAAATGGAAATGCAAGGCAGTGGCGCTTGCTCACAAAATCAAGGGTTAGGAACTGCACTCCGTTTCTCCTGAAAGAGCGAATTGTCTGCCCTCGTCCTCCCCAGGTCTGCAGAATGAATGTCTTCCATCCCTGCAGGGCTAAACTGAGTGGTTCCTTCCTGAAGCCTTCTGCCCTGGAGAGGCATTTCATTCCCCTCAGAAGCAACATCTTTTCATGGTTTAATGATGCCCAGCTGGGCTGCTGGGCTTCACAGCCAGCTGAGGTCATGTTCAAGTTCTCTTTGGCGCATGCATGATCGCCGTGTATAAATGGAAACCTGCACTGCATAGTAACTCTTGCATTAAGCCCCTTTCTCCACAAGTCTGGCAAACTTCCGTGATCAGAACTGCTGGCATTCCAGCCCTCCATAGTCAAAAATGATATATTTTTTAAATCTCTCTCTCTCTCTTTTTAAAAAATCTGTCCCTTGGTTTAAAAATCTTCTCCCCTGGAGAAGCAAAAGAGGAACAGAGAGGCCAATACATTAAAAAGCTCAGGCTGGTGTTGAGTTCAAAGATTAGAACTGCAAGCTATTTGGAGGGTTCGTCTCAGCTGGGGTTCCTCTTTCAATTTCGCTGCCTGGGACATAATTCAGAATTCTCAGGTCAGCTTGAAAATACTCAAAACGGGAGAAGCGGTGATTGGAACGGTGGTGATGGGAGAGGCAGGGGAATTAAATTTCTGGCCTTTATGAAGCAAAGCTTGAAGTCACAATGCCCAGTAAAAGAGGAGCGTATGGTGATATGAAGGCTAGAGGAAACTTCAAGAGGAAGGCCGCGCCAGGGCGCCAGGGCTGACTTGAAGTCTTCCCCTTTCACTGACCCCTTTTAAGTGGCAGGGGGGCGAGAGGGTCATTAAATTTGCAGCTTGCAAACATCAGTGCAGCAGGTAAAAGATAAAGGTAAAGGGACCCCCGACCATTAGGTCCAGTCGTGGCCGACTCTGGGGTTGCGGCGCTCATCTCGCTTTACTGGCCGAGGGAGCTGGCGTACAGTTTCCGGGTCATGTGGCCAGCAGGACTAAGCCGCTTCTGGCAAACCAGAGCAGCGCACGGAAACGCCGTTTACCTTCCCGCCGGAGCAGTACCTATTTATCTACTTGCACTTTGAGGTGCTTTCAAACTGCTAGGTTGGCAGGAGCAGGGACTGAGCAATGGGAGCTCACCCTGTCGTGGGGATTCAAACCGCTGACCTTCTGATTGGCAAGTCCTAGGCACTGTGGTTTAACCCACAGCGCCACCCACGTCCCAAACAGCTACAGGTTTGAAGCCTGCACCCCAGACCACTGAGGATCATCCGGGCAGAGACTCCTTACACTGCGTTTAAAACCAAAATCGCCTTTGGGTAGAAACTGTTTCTCAGGCTGCTAGTCCTAGTCTTTATAACCCTGTACCTTCTTCCAGAAGGCAGAAGCTGAAAGAGATCATTTCCGGGGTGCGCACTGTCCTGCGCTATCTCTGCAGCTTTCTTATGGCACCTGGAAGCATAGATTTGATCCAAGGTGGGAAGAGTGCACCCAATTATTCTCTCTGCAGTCTTTACAACTCTCGACAGCATTGTTTTTTCCCTGACCGTGCAGCTCCCAAACCACACACACAGACCATAAGTTAATGCACTCTCCACAGTACAATGGTAAAATGCCATCAACAGGTCCTTTGAGAGATTGTTTTTTTCCAGAGGATTCTCAGAAAATATAACTGAAGCACCGTCAGCACCAACCACTGACCACAGCAGTAGTGTTGGCATCACCCTCCCCAGCTTTAGGACTGGGTTACCCCCCCCCCCACAGCCAGTAGGTGGAGATGCCTCCCCATTTCCTCAGGAGGCTGAGCTGGAAACACCAGCCCAGCCCTGTCAACGTCGTTGGTGGGTCTTGGACCCCTGGTAGCAGTGTCTCCCCCACAACCTGGACAGTGGGAGTCGTCCCCGTCCCCCCGCTGTCCCACGACTCCCAGGACACCTAGCAGGAAAGGGACCAAGGTGCCCACCATTATTCCTGTATTGCAGGAGGTTGGACTAGACGGCCCTATGGTTTCAGCCTGGGAAATAATATAAAATTTCATGTGTTGCTAGGCAAGCAAAGGGTTAAGACACATGGAGTTCCCCTGTAAATTCCTAGAGAGGACACTCTGTGAGGTCACATCCCCTGTTTGCCCCGGTACAACTTCCTCACTCCCCCATCCTTTGCCATGTAACTAAAGAGACAAGACTGAGCACAGACTCCATTTTTTTTTTATCTCAACCGCATGTTTTGTAATATATTCTGCCTGTCTTGTTTTTCACTGCTGCAACAAGTCTGAAGCTTTATGCAGATAAACAATATTTTCATTCCTGCATTGCAGGCTTCTGTGCGATTATCTTGTTTAGAGGGATTTTTTTTTTTAAAAAAGAGGAAGATCCAGTCTGCGAAAGCATCCTGGATAAATATGAATAAGGTTAAGCAATTTGGTCCCAGAGCGTTTCCACATTTTATGCTGCAAAGGGTAATTTTAAACTCTAGCTAGCTAGACGTTAATCTCAAACACAAGTTGGTCAGAGGAAGGACAAGCGATAAATAATACCCTCTCCAGATCCATGCAGCATTCAGGACCCTTGCCCCCAGGGGGAGCCAGAGAGCAGAAAAGAGCAGGAGCAGTTTCAGCACCATGGACAGATCTCGCTGGCTTCTGTGTTGCTCCTTCCATCACTGCAAGAACACCTACTTCTTGGCATTCAAAGAGAGCAGGGTTGTGCCAGAATGGGCACCTTGGCCAACTCTTTCGCTCACCCCACAGTGCCTCTCGCCGTGTCCTTCTCACAGCCTTGAGGAATTTCAGCTGTGGGTAGGTCCTCAGCACCGACTTGCCTCTCTTCCTCCTCCTCCTCCTCCTCCTCCTCCTCAGTAGGGTCTGTGGAGAGAAGGGGAGGGAGTCAGGACACCCAGACTATGCACAAACACTCTCCAGACCTCGCTCACCTGTAATTGCACCTGTTCCAATCCTGTGTACCAACCTCACCAAGGGGCACCGATCTTTCAATCTCGCAGCAACACCTTGTCCAGATTTTTCTTAAAGCACACCTGGTTGCAGGGTGTAGTGTCTAGGTGTTGCACCCCCTGTCCATTTCTACACCATGATTTATTTTACACACACACACGTCTACACACACCCCGGCTAACTTTGCAGTCATACGTAAAAAGGAGAGAAGCTATTAAGTTTACAGACAAAGTAGGCTTTGAATGTTATACCCAGAACAAGCACAGTGGCTCTCCGAGGAACTGGAGGGCAATTGCGTACTACATCTGCAAGAACGGGGCCAACCCAAGACGTTTTGCTGACCATGAGACCAATTGCAACCTTGGTTTCTTCCCTCCCATTCCATTTAGAAAAGTCGGCGGGCAACTGGGGCGCAGGTCCATGGAGGCGCAGGTTAATTCCACGCCCAGGGCGGCTGTCTACCAGCTCCATCTGGTACGCTGACTGACAGCCTCCCTGCCTGCTCCCTGTCTCGCCAGAGTGGTACATTTTCTGCTTGGACTACTGCAATGTGCTCTACGTGGGGCTACCTTTGAAGGTGACTCGGAAACTACAACTAATCCAGAATGTGGCAGCTAGACTGGGGACTGGGAGTGGCCGCCAGGACCACATAACACCAGTCTTGAAAGACCTACATTGGCTCCCAGTACGTTTCAACACAATTCAAAGTGTTGATGCAGACCTTTAAAGCCCTAAATGGCCTCAAAGGCCCAGTAGACCTGAAGGAGTGTCTCCACCCCCATCGTTCAGCCTGGACACTGAGGTCCAGCTCCAAGGGCCTTCTGGCGGTTCCCTCACTGCAAGAAGTGAGGTTACAGGGAACCAGGCAGAGGGCCTTCTTGGTAGTGGCACCTGCCCTGTGGAACATCCTCCCATCAGGTGTCAACTACACAACATTTAGAAGACATCTTTTTAATGTTTAATGCTTTACTATGTCTTTATAAGGGACGCAGGTGGTGCTGTGGGTTAAACCACTGAGCCTCTTGGGCTTGCCGATCAGAAGGTCGGCGGTTCGAATCCCAGCGATGGGGTGAGCTCCCGTTGCTCGGTCCCTGCTCCTGCCAACCTAGCAGTTCGAAAGCATGTCAAAGTGCAAGTAGATAAATAGGTACCGCTCGGGCGGGAAGGTAAACGGTGTTTCCGTGCGCTGCTCTGGTTTGCCAGAAGCGGCTTCATCATGCTGGCCACATGACCCAGAAGCTTTATGCTGGCTCCCTCAGCCAATAAAGTGAGATGAGCGCCGCAACCCCAGAGTCGGCCACGGCTGGACCTAACGGTCAGGGGTCCCTATACCTTATGTCTTTATATATGCTGGAAGCCGCCCAGAGTAGCAACCCAGTCAGTTGGGCTGGGTTCATATAAATTGTTGTTGTTGTTGTTGAATGGCAATGAGGCAGCGCTCTCCACTGCACTGAGGGCAACAGGTGAGCTTAGTTGTCGCTTGCCAGAAGGGACCTGCTAGATCAGGAAAAAGTGATCAGGGATGAGAAGGTGCAGACAGCTTTCCCCCCCTGCTCCATCCCTAGGGGCCTTCATAATGTGGCTGCTTAATTAATGCTTCCATTTGACCTCCTAGTGAGTGGAACGCTCTCTCAAACAGCTTCTAGGTGTTAAACGGACTGTTAATTGCTGAGTGTAAATTGTTTCAGCTGTTAGGTAAGCTGTGATTCCTGCATTTATTCGTTTACTTGAAGCTGAGGTTTGCAAAAGGTAAAGCAGTAAAATGAAGGGGAGGGGGAAAATCACAACCCTGCTTTAAAGCATACGGAAGTTAAGATACCAAAACAGATAAAAATCACCTTGACGTCCTAAGCATGGGGGGGGGGGCCCTTGGCCAAAGAAGGATGTTTTTAGCAGGTGCTAAAAAGTGTAGGATGGAGGCGTCCGCTTGTTCTCAGTAGGCAGGTGGTTCTAAAGTGAGTTATGCAGAATGACATTTGTAGCAGTGCTAAATGCACTGAAGGGGGCTGGACTAGATGACTCTTGAGGTCCCTTCTGACTGCCATTTCCTGATCTCATGTGACTTTGTTATATATTGCTGCATTTGGACTCAGATTCCCCCCCCCCAAACCACTTTGAACACAGGCTTGACTCGTGGGGGAATCGCGGCACATAAATTAATCGACAACGGCAGTATATACACACACAAGCCAATGAAATATAGAACAAATCGTGGCACGCTGAACAAACCGAAACAGAGTCTGCCCCACAAACTCTTATTACGATGAAAGCAAGGGAGTCAGAAATCATTTTACGCAATCGCAGTAAAAGCTAAGAGCGCACCAGAAAGCGCCAGGTTCCGAGACCAATAATGAAAATTCATCAGCATTTCCGGGAAACTTTGTCCTAATATGGAATTTGCAATTTGGCTGGAGAGCTGCGTTGCGACATTCGTAGAAGCGCAGATTTGAAAGGAACGGCTGTGCTTCGATTCACATTTTCATTTTGGAAAATGCAAAAGCCTTTAAATGCTAAGGGAATCTAATTCCTCTCCCACCTCCAGCGGTTCCCACAATTCTGCCACCCCCCCTCCAGTTTGCAAAGGTGCCCACCAGGGCCGGAAGGTTGGCAACCAAAATATCACCCCCAGATCTCTAGCAAGAACTGTGCTCCCCCCCCAAAAAAACCCTGACAAATAATATCCAAAGCTGCAAAGGTGATGTTAGTTGCATCTAACAAGCTGATCCACCCCTAAGTAGTTTTGCTTTATTAATGCTTTAATCCTAAATAGGCTTACTTTAGATTAAGGCTGAGTTCATTGCAGTTTATGTAGCAGAAGGTGTGTGTGCTTAAGAACGAAATATGAGCTTGCTGGATTAAGCCAATCGCCCATCTACCTATCCTGCCTCTTCTTACTTGCTTTTTCTCTAAATGAAAAAGTCCCAAACAGGGTGGATTTGATTTAAATCAAATCGATTTAAATCACTAGTCGGTAAGACTTGATTGAAATCATATATTTTTTTTACAGAAAGACTCATTCTGGCTGGTATCATCTTAATATTCACAACCCGAGGAAAGTTTCATTTTTGGAATAATAATTTTTCAGAGCAGTTTTTACAGTTATATCAAAAATTGCTGATTTGGTTATACTATTGGAAATACATAGACAAGTAATTATGAAATTATGGCGAGGTTTAATAAGGTAACTCTTTATATTTGGGCAACTTTTCTGCTGTACTTGATTGGAAGGAGAAAAATAATCATTTCTTTAATAACAATTTAGACAATTTATTTAACTAAAACCATAACATTATAGCATATGTATCCATGTTTGTTAACTGATGTGGTTAAACAATTTAAAAGAAAAGAAAAGAAAGAAAACCAAAAACCTTAGACTGAGTTTTAGCACACATGAAAAACTTAAAAGCAAATCCTTTCCTGATGAATAGTCTTTGGACTATAATGTAACTTACCGTATTTTTCGTCCCATAGGACGCTCCGTCCCATAGGACGCACATAGTTTTTTTGAGGGGAAATAAAGGAAAAAAATTTCCCCTTTATTTCCCCCCCAAAACCAGGTCGGGGAAACCGAACCAGGTTGAGGAACAGCGGGATGGCGGCGCTGTGCCTCCCTGCTGTCCCCCGAGCTTGTGGGGCTGGCCGATGTCTGCCCGACGCAAGGGGCGCTCTGCTTCAGGGCGCCCCTCGCGCCGGGCGGCAGGCTGCTATCCACAGCGTGGGGAGCCCTGCGGCGAACTCCCGCAGGGCTCCAACACGCTGCGGATGTCTGCCCGGCGCGAGAGGCGCTCTGCTTCAGGGTGCCCCTCGCACAGCGGCAGGCTGTTATCCGCAGCGTGGGGAGCCCTGCAGGGAACTCCTGCAGGGCTCCAACACGCTGTGGATGTCTGCCCGGCACGAGGGGCACTCTGCTTCAGGGTGCCCCTTGCGCCGGGCGGCAGGCTGCTATCCGCAGCGTAGGTAGCCCTGCGGGAGTTCCCACAGGGCTGCCTAGGCTGCGGATGTGTTCCCGGAAGCGCCGGGCGCTCTGCTTTCAGCGCGCCCAGCGCTCCAGGAAGCAGGTTGCTATCCGCAGGCTGCGGATGTCTTCCTGAAGCCTGGAGAGCGAGAGGGGTTGGTGCGCACCGACCCCTCTCGCTCTCCAAGCTTCAGCGAAAGCCTGCATTCGCCCCATAGGACGCACCCAGATTTCCCCTTCATTTTTGGAGGGGAAAAAGTGTGTCTATTAGGGCGAAAAATACGGTAAATACAAAACTATCTTTGGAAAGATTTTCTTCCAAAAGCACTTTATTTTAAAAATCCAACTGAAATAAAAAAATACACAATTGAAATAAAATAAAAAATCTGATTTTATTTATTTATTTTTTAAAAAAATCATTGATTTTCATCCACCCACGTCCCAAATTCTGCAACCTTTCCTGGGGGGGGGTTTCACTCCACCCCCTTTATAATTTTGCTTGCCCTTTTCTGCAACCTTTTCCTAACTCTACAATATCCTTTTTCAGGTGAGGCGACCAGAACCGGAAGCAATATCCCAAATATGGTCACACCATAGATTTGCATAATGGCATTACGATATCTCTATGTATATCATGCGAAAGGCTGGGCTGGATGAATCCCAAGCTGGAATTAAGATTGCCGGAAGAAATATCAACAACCTCAGATATGCAGATGACACAACCTTGATGGCAGAAAGTGAGGAGGAATTAAAGAACCTTTTAATGAGGGTGAAAGAGGAGAGCGCAAAATATGGTCTGAAGCTCAACATCAAAAAAACGAAGATCATGGCCACTGGGCCCATCACCTCCTGGCAAATAGAAGGGGAAGAAATGGAGGCAGTGAGAGATTTTACTTTCTTGGGCTCCATGATCACTGCAGATGGTGACAGCAGCCACGAAATTAAAAGACGCCTCCTTCTTGGGAGAAGGGCAATGACAGGCCTAGACAGCATCTTGAGAAGTAGAGACGTCACCTTGCCAACAAAGGTCCGTATAGTTAAAGCTATGGTTTTCCCAGTAGTGATGTATGGAAGTGAGAGCTGGACCATAAAGAAGGCTGATCGCCGAAGAATTGATGCTTTTGAATTATGGTGCTGGAGAAGACTCTTGAGAGTCCCATGGACTGCAAGAAGATCAAACACATCCATTCTTAAGGAAATCAGCCCTGAGTGCTCACTGGAAGGACAGATCGTGAAGCTGAGGCTCCAGTACTTTGGCCACCTCATGAGAAGAGAAGACTCCCTGGAGAAGACACTGATGCTGGGAAAGATGGAGGGCACAAGGAGAAGGGGGCGACAGAGGACGAGATGGTTGGATAGTGTTTTCGAGGTTACCAGCATGAGTCTGACCAAACTGCGGGAAGTAGTGGAGGACAGAGGTGCCTGGCGTGCTCTGGTCCATGGGGTCACGAAGAGTCGGACACGACTAAACGACTAAACAACAACAAATTACGATATCGGCAGTTTCATTTTCAATTGCTTTCCTAATGATATCGCTGGCATGGAACCTGCCGTTCCAGCAGCTGCCACACTCTGAGTCAGACAACGCACTAGCAAATCCGTGCTTGAGGTTTGTACCAGAGGCAGAATAATAATAATAATAATAAAATTGCCGATATTCAGCACTTGGTAAACACTTCAGAATTCAATATGGAAGTTTTGGATAGATGCACTCCCTCTAACAGCGAACTCAGCTGCTGAGCACTGACAGAAATGGAGACAAAATGTGGGGAGTGGGAAACAAAAATACAGATGTACACTGGTACCTTGGGTTAAGTACTTAATTCGTTCCGGAGGTCCGTTCTTAACCTGAAACTGTTCTTAACCTGAAGCACCACTTTAGCTAATGGGGCCTCCTGCTGCCACCATGCCGCCACCGCGCAATTTCTGTTCTCATCCTGAAGCAAAGTTCTTAACCTGAAGCACTATTTCTGGGTTAGCAGAGTCTGTAACCTGAAGCATATGTAACCCAAGGTACCCCTGTATTTACGGTGTGGTAGCATACACATCACATACTTCATGAATGCAACATACAGTGGGCGCTCGGGTTGCGAACATGATCTGTGCGGGAAGCACATCCACAACCCGCACGTCCGCAACCCGCAGCGCCGCGTCTGCGCACATGTGGGTTGCGATTCGGCGCTTCTGTGCATGCGCAAAGTGCGATTTGGTGCTTCTGCACATGTGCAAGCACCAAACCCCGGAAGTGACGCGTTCCGGTACTTCTGGGTTTGGCGCAAGCCAAAATCGCGCAACCCGAAGCGCGGGTAACCCGAGGTATGACTGTACTGTCCCAGGATCCTAGTTATCACAGAATGAACCATGGAAGGAGAAGAAGAGAAGTCATTGATACTTTAAGGATGTAAAATGAGTATTTCAAATTGCAAAAACATTCGTTTTTAACCAGGTCTTTAGATCATTAGATTAAAATTAATAATAATAATTTTTATTATTTATACCACACCCATCTGGCTGGGTTTCCTCTGCCCTTTTAAAATGTCGGGTTTTTTTGGGGGGGGGTCATTGGGTTGTTGATTTTATTCTGATTATGTATTTTGTGGTTTTATATTTTGATTTTTTTCTGTGAACCACCCTGAGACCTTTGGGCGTAGGGTGGTATATACATTCAATAAATAAATAAATAAATAAGAAGGAATTGGCATGATTTTACATGGGGTCCTCAAAAAGCCACCATCAAATGTAAGCTTTCATTAGCCTTGTAGTAAAAGCTTGCAAAATAAATAATAATAATAATAATAATAATAATAATAATAATAATTGTACCCTGCCCATCGGACTGGGCGGCTTCCAACAGATATAAAAACGCAATAAAACGTCAAACGCTAAAAGCTTTCTTGTACAGATCTGGTGCTTGCCAGCACAACAGCACAGCACAAATCCACATGGATCTTCCTGGTTTTTACATGGGATGGTCATATCCAAATAATAATAATAATAATAATAATAATAATAATAATAATAATAATAATAATAATAATAATATCCCGCCCTTCCCAGTTCAAAAACCGTGCTCAGGGCAGCTAACAACAAATTTAAAACACTTAATTGATGCCGCAAAAAACAGCATAAAATACAGTATAAAACGTGAATAACAATAAATTCAGAATTCAAAAATCAATTTAGGGAGGAAATCCATCCAATAAACATTAGATGATCACCAGGGCTAGCTGGCTAAATTTGGCCCAGCGTGGAGACCAGGGGAGAATTAGCTGTGGGATCCCAGAGCGGGTTATACATATATACAGTTTATACATACAAACTGCATTTAAAGCACCTCACCAAAAGAGCCCCGGGAACTGCAGTTTCTTCTCGCAGAGTGACACCCCCTCAACAGCACCCTCAGCAAACTACAGTTCCCAGGAGGGATGTATGGTGTGTGTGTGGGGGGGCTGATGGCACAGATCACAGGACATGTTGCGGAGCCCGAAAGGGTGGCAACCCCAGTTCAGCTGCTCAGGTGCCAGTCTGGCATTTGAGAAGCCCACAGAGCTGAAAGAGGAAGTGCGCCACTCTTCCCATCTTCCTCTGTCAACTCTAGACTCAGCCACACAGCTGCAAATAAAACGTTTTAAATGTGCAATATACGAAGGTGACACTAGATGGCGGCAGTGAGCTATGCAAAATTCAATGTAATTTTCAAAACTTTTCTTTAAAAATTTTCCCCCCACAGCTATATGTGTGTAGAGTCTACCTCTATGTACTTTTCTAACCTGTGGTGGGGAGAGAAATGTAGCCACGCTCACCTTCTCATGGCAAAAGGGGGCAGCGGGGAGGGGAGGGGCTCAATGGCTTTTTGGGCAGTGAGGGAAAGCCCCAAGGGCATAATTGCACCCACAGGGGAGCCATGGGGTCAGTCTAGGGTTTACAGTATACTGCAAGTTGGGATGGTTGGCTGCTAGAACTCCGAACTAGCTAGTAGGCAGTTCAAGGTGTTAAAAGGTAAAGGGACCCCTGACCATTAGGTCCAGCCGTGGCCGACTCTGGGGTTGCGGCGCTCATCTCGCTTTATTGGCCGAGGGAGCCAGCATAAAGCTTCTGGGTCATGTGGCCAGCATGATGAAGCCGCTTCTGATGAACCAGAGCAGCGCACGGAAACGCCGTTTACCTTCCCGCTGGAGCAGTACCTACTTATCTACTTGCGCTGGTGTGCTTTCAAACTGCTAGCTTGGCAGGAGCAGGGACCGAGCAACGGGAGCTCACCCCGTCGCGGGGATTCGAACCGCCGACCTTCTGATCGGCAAGACCTAGGCTCTGTGGTTTAACCCACAGCGCCACCCGTGTCATACTATTAATATATAAAGCCCTTAACAACATGCAACCAATTTACCTGCAAGGGCACCTTACCTCATATTCACAGCGTTACAATTTCCCCAAGCACCAGGTGTGTTTTGCAACTCCAGGTCCGACTGTAACCATGCGTAGATTTCCGGATACCAGGCTGGCGACTGACATCTCCATCTGGCCGGCCCCTCCAGCTTTCTTAAGCAGATAAGGAGAAGAGCTTATTTATTGCATTTATCTCCTATATTTTCCCCCAAGGAGTCCATGGTTCACCCCCCTCCTCAGTTAATCCGTACAACAACCCTGTGAGGTAGCTTGAGAGACTGTGACTGGCTCCAGGGTCAACCCAGTAAACTTCATGAGAGAAGGGGGATTTGAACCCTCATCTTCCAGGTCCTACTCTGACACTCTAACCCAGGCATAGGCAAACTTGGCCCTTCAGATGTTTTGGGACTACAGTGCCCATCATCCCTGACCACTGGTCCTGTTAGCTAGGGATGATGGGAGTTGTAGTCCCAAAAACATGTGGAGGGCCGAGTTTGCCTATGCCTGCTCTAACCACTACACCACACTGCCCTCCTAGAGTGCTTCTGCTATGGGGCAGCTCTATAAATTAAGTAGGGAAATAAATAGGGGAGGGGGGAGCCAAAGGACCCAAATTTTTTTCCTTGGACCTTGAATTTGTTTTATTCTGGATCGGATGTTTCTTTTTTCTTTTTTTGCCATTGTATCTTTTATTAATGAAATCATTAATGTCATTATAGATTTAACTTCACATACACACACATACAATATTACACACACACACACACACACACACACACACACAAATTAGTTTAATTTAGAATGTAAATTTCACCTTCTAATTCCACTTACATCTAAGTGGATTGTATGATTGGATGTTTCAATGTGTTGTAAACTGCTTTGGACTTTTTCTTTAAAATGCACAGTGGTATAGAAATGAGATTAATAATAATAATATTAATAATAATAATAATAATAATTGCCATTGGGGGAAGAGGTGCCTACACATTCCATTATCGCAACTGCAACCCAGGTTTAAGGTGCCATTTGGTGATTAGCTAGATCAGAGCTTTCCGAACTGTCGCGACACGTTTGTGTGTCGGCTGCAGCGTGCAGGCGTGTCGTGCAAACACTCCCCGCGCTCCTCAGGGGCCTGGGAAAAGGTTAGTTTAACCTCTGGTTTGCTAGTAAAACTGAATTACCGTGTCGCGAAAATGATGCATGCCTCAAAAGCGTGTCACCAACATGAAAAATTTGGAAATGACCCCTCGACTGAGAAAAGCAGTTAGAAGAGTTCATGCCATTAAATAATAGTATCACCAGTATCCAGAGCAGAGCTTCTGTAGAATCGTGGAATTGCAGGTGTTGTGAGGGACCCCAAAGGTCAACTAGCCCAACCCCCAATGCAGGAATCACAGCTCAATCATCCCTGATCGCCGCAGGCGAGTGGGTTGCAATTACTCGGAGGAAGAGAGGGTTTCCTTGGGGGCTGGGATGGGAAACATCTGTGGCCCTCCAGATGTCATTGGACTACAACTCCCATCATGCCTCAAGCTGGCTACTAGGAGTAGCAGTCCAGTCACATCGGGAGCAGACGATTACTGGGCTGTGTGGTCAAAGACCCTGATCGCTCCCTCCGTTAGTATTCATGTATGAAAAAGGGCGGAATTAAAGAACCCTTTTATTGAGGGTGAAAGAGGAGAGCGCAAAATATGGTCTGAAGCTCAACATCAAAAAAACGAAGATCATGGCCACTGGTCCCATCACCTCCTGGCAAATAGAAGGGGGAGAAATGGAGGCAGTGAGAGATTTTACTTTCTTGGGCTCCATCATCACTGCAGATGGTGACAGCAGTCACGAAATTAAAAGACGCCTGCTTCTTGGGAGAAAAGCAATGACAAACCTAGACAGCATCTTAAAAACCAGAGACATCACCTTGCCAAAAAAGGTCCATATAGTTAAAGCTATGGTTTTCCCAGTAGTGATGTATGGAAGTGAGAGCTGGACCATAAAGAAGGCTGATCGCCAAAGAATGGATGCTTTTGAATTCTGGTGCTGGATGAGACTCTTGGAGAGTCCCACGGACTGCAAGAAGATCAAACCTCTCCATTCTGAAGGAAATCAGCCCTGAGTGCTCACTGGAAGGACAGATCCTGAAGCTGAGGCTCCAAGAGTATGGCCACCTCATGAGAAGAGAAGACTCCCTGGAAAAGACCCTGATGTTGGGAAAGATGGAGGGTGCAAGGAGAAGGCGACGACAGAGGACAAGATGGTTGGACAGTGTTCTCGAAGCTACCAGCATGAGTTTGACCCAACTGCGGGAGGCAGTGGAAGACAGGAGGGCCTGGCGTGCTCTGGTCCAGGGGGTCACGAAGAGGCGGACATGACTAAATGACTAATCAACAAAATGAAAAAGGGCATAAGAGGGAGACTGCAAATTTTAGCAGGGTTTCCAACAGATATAATTGTAGAGCTGATAAATATTACAAAGGGTGGGATAGGAAATGGGGTGCTGCCGAGTCAGACTGTGGGTCCCCGTAGTTCATTGTTGTCTGCACTGACTGGAAGCTGCTCTCCAGGGCTTCAGGAAGGAGGGTCTCTCTCTCCTCCAGTGCTACCTGGAGGTGTCAGCAAGGGTCGAACCTTGGGTCATTCTGCATTCAAAGCAGGGGCTTTGCACCGAAAGACGACCCTTCCACAAGGACAGTGTGGTCTACCAGTTTTACCTGGATAAAATGAAAATTAATGCACGTAGACAGCTTTTCTCTATCCTGTCTACCTGACACTTCTTTGCAGTCTTAATCTGGCCTCATTTTTCCCAGATCTAGCCCTCTGCCAAACTGCCTTTGGGGTCAGTGCTGAACTAGGTCCCTGAGAGGGGACCATAATAATAATAATAATAATAATAATAATAATAATAATAATAATACAGTGGTACCTTGGTTTTTGAACTTAATCTGTTCCAGGAGTCCGTTCAACTCCCGAAACCGTTCAGAAACCAAGGCGTGGCTTCCGATTGGCTGCAGGAGCTTCCTGCCACGTCAGACGTTCAGATTCCGAAAAAGTTCGCAAACCGGAACACTTACTTCTGGGTCTGCGGCATTCGGGAGCCAATTTGTTCGGGAGCCAAGCCGTTTGAGACCCAAGGTACCACTGTAATGTAATACGAGGCCATAATTTGTTTGGAGCCAACTCCTCTTGGATGTGGTGGCAGCTTTCCACAGAACTCTTTGCCAGCCTCGCTGGCTGAAGGCAGAGCTCTGTGCAATCACAAAGTCTCCCATCGTCAATAAAAAGTCTCCTAAGCTTGTCTCTATGTAGCATTGCATCATCAATATTATTTCGGAGATGGACACACACACAATTTCGGCCTCGTTTTCTCCTGAAGAGCAGAGTGAAACCTGGAACTTTATTCATCATCTTCACTTTGGGGAGCAAACCCAGTTGACCTGTCGCACAACAGCAAGTCAGGCTGCCGTAAGCTCACGTACCTTCTGTCTGAGATACAACGATTTACCTCTGAGTAAACAGTCGAGCTGTTCTTAAGCTCTTTTGGAAAAAAAAGATGCATTTTGAAACATGCTATTAATTTATCATTGGGATTATAATTCTAACCAGCACAGTTCATGCCCGTATATGATGGCAGACATTTTCGCAGACTAGATCCCACTTGATCAAGAGGAGCATTTCAGGGGCTGTATAAGTCAGTGAGAGAGCCTTACATGCAGAAGGTTGCAGGTTCAATCCCTGGCAACTCCTGGTAGCGCAGCGGGTCAGTGTGCTTGTCTGTTAACCAGAAGATTGGTGGTTCGAGCCAATCAGCTGTGGACAGGATTCCTGCATTGCAGGGAGCTCGACTCGATCCTTGGGATCCCTTCCAACTCGACAATTCTATGACTGCCTGCCTGAAACTGTTGCCAGTCTGTGTAGACACAACTGGGTTAAATGGTCTGACCTGGCAGAAGGCAGTTTACTATACAGTGGTACCTTGGTTTTCAAATGCCTTGCTACTCAAACGCATTGGTTCCCAAATGCCGAAAACCCGGAAATGAGCGTTCCGGTTTTCAAACATTTTTCGGAAGCCGAACGTCCAATGTGGCGGTCAGCTATTGTTTCCGGGGCGCCTGCACCAATCAGAAGCTGTGGCTTGGTTTTCAAACATTTTGGAAACCGACTTCTGGAATGGATTAAGTTTGGCGCTTTTGTTTTTGCTATTTACTTTGCGTTTCTGTTTTTGAGGCATTTTCGGTTCATTTGTTTTTGTGATTGTGTGGAACCCAGTTCAGCTACTGATTGATTGCTTGATTGTGTGACTGCAGAAATGGATAAAAGCCCCCCATCCAAACAATGACTATCATCAGTGCAGGTAAGAATTTTTTTTTAAAATAACTTTTTACCATCTACAATATTGTCTTATTTATTTTATAGTACAGTACATTTGATTATTGCTTTCATTTTTATGGATCTATGGTCTCGTTAGATAGCAGAATTCCTGTTAAAATACTGTTTTAGGGCTTGTTTTTAAAAGTCTGGATTAATCTGTTTTGCATTACTTTCTATGGGAAAGCGCGCCTTGGTTTTGGAACACTTTGGTTTTGGAACGGATTAAGTTTTAGAACCAAGTACTACAATATATCCCAAACAATGGGAGAAATTGGAAGGATCTCAAAAGCGAAGATAGACAGGGACTGGAAGGTGTTTAAAGGATACTTGCAAAACCATATCGAAAAATCAGAACTCCTATTAGAATAAACAAGTTCCGTTTTAAATACTGAAATACTAAATAAGATGGATAACAATGTGTAATAGAAAAAGAAGCATGAAATTAGGTTAAAGGTGTGTGAAAGTAATAGAAGTGGAAAGAAATGGCAATTGAGTAGATTGGAAGTCTAACACCAAGGTGGGGTGAGGGGTGGTGGATGGTGATGGGGAAAGGAATTATTTGTGGGATTGGGTGTAGGTATGTTTGAACACTCTTAAGGATTGTATGAAATGTATGTTTGTATGCGTGTATATTTGCAATATGTGTGTATTAATGCTGAATTATTTTAACAATAAAAAACAATAATAATAAAAGTTTTAGAACCAAGGTGCCACTGTATTCCTATCTAAACCAGCCCTTTCTTTCAAAGTCATGTGGACTGAAATCTTGCTTTAGTTTATTGTTTTTTCAAGGAAATGAGCGTAACTCAGGGGCAGAGCTGTGGCTTTGCACCCAGAAAGCACTGAGTTCGATTCTCGGCGTCTCCAGGAAGAGCTAGGAGCATAGCTGCGCGGATGTTATTTTCCCAGAGATGGAAAGAAGATAAAGTCACGACCAGAGAAGAATGGCAGATTAATGGATTATGCCAAAATGGCTAAAATGACGGGAAGAAATTAGAAATCAGGAAGACCAAAATTTTAATAAAGAATGGGGGGAAATTATAATTTATCTTAAGAAACCATTGTGAGCAGTTAAAATGGTTTACTAGGATTGGAATAACACTTGTAGTTTAAAGGTGAATTTTGGATATACAGTAGTACCTCGGGTTACAGACGCTTCAGGTTACAGACTCTTCAGGTTACAGACTCCGCTAACCCAGAAATACCACCTTGGGTTAAGAACTTTGTCTCAGGATGAGAACAGAAATCGTGTGGTGGCGGCAGCGGGAGGCCCCATTAGCTAAAGTGGTGCCTCAGGTTAAGAATAGTTTCAGGTTAAGAATGGACCTCCGGAACGAATTAAGTTCTTAGCCCGAGGTACCACTGTAATGGAGAAGTAAAAGATTTGGATGATCATAAAAGATGCAAGAGGAAATGACGAATAACAGAATCCTCCACAAAGAGAAGGAGGGAAGACCAGGAGATTCTTGGAATCTTGTTTTTATGATCTATGTTCAATATACGACTGCAAAATTTTAATCTGAAAACCAAATAAATAAAAGAAACAAATATATATTCTAGATGAAACAAAGAATGGAGGTCCACACATTGTCAGGCTTCATTACAGTAGAAGATGGGGCCGGTTTTGAGGTGTGCATGGTTGGTATTTGTTAAAACTGGGGCAACTCTTCCACCTTTCCTTTCTAAGGAAATCAAAGCCGAGTACAGTGGGACCTCGGGTTAAGAACTTAATTCGTTCTGGAGGCCCGTTCTTAACCTGAAACTGTTCTTCACCTGAGGTACCCCTTTAGCTAATGGGGCCTCCTGCTGCTGCTGCTGCCGCCGCGTGATTTCTGTTCTCATCCTGAAGCAAAGTTCTTAACCTGGGGTACTATTTCTGGGTTAGCGGAGTCTGTAACCTGAAGCGTCTGTAACCCGAGGTACCACTGTACGTGGTTCTCCCCCTCCCTCCTCATTTGAGCCCTACAACAACCTTGTGAGGTAGTTTAGGCTGAGAGGAAGCAATGGGACCTCAACATCCACCCCCCATGGCCAAGTGGGGGATTCGAACCCTAGTCCCGACCCTCTAACCACTGCACCGCCCAGTCTCTCTTCCTACACCCCCGGGGAACCGAACAGAGGAGAAGCACATCATTTTGATCCCTCTCCTCCAATTCATGCGGGTATTAAGAGACAAAACAGACAAGCCCCAGAATACCAGGACTTTCCTTCTTGCACCCCCAACAACTGCTGCAAATTGCGCCCCACACAAGAGGACACCCAACCCCAGAGGCTAACCCGCCCCCCCCAAAAAAATGCCCAGACTGGAAGAGGGATTTTGCAGCCTTAAAGGACAGGACAAAGGTGGAGACCGCGGGAAGGGATGCGAAGGAGCGATGGAGAGGGATCTTTTGCAAGAGGAGGCGCTTGCAACTTTTCGCCTGGCAAGTCCACAGGTGGCTTCTAGCATCCTGAGTTTCTCCACTTGCCTGGGAGATCAGAAACAGCTGCGGTGGGGCAGATGCATCCCCCCCCTTCCCCTCTCCCCTTCCTCCCCGTCTGATTCCCTTTCTTCCCAGTCCCCAAAGAAAGAAAAGGCACAGAATCCAGACCTCACCTGCGTCTCTCTCTCTCTCTCTCAAGGCATCTTTTGCAGTTCAGAGCTCTTGAAACGCAGCCGGAGAACCCCCGCTTTTTATAGAGGGGCACATGGGAGGGGCTGCCATGCTGATGAGCCCATTCTCTGCCCCCCCTTCCCCTCTTTTAATGCAACCAGTAAGTTTTCATCTGCCCACCCTCTCCTCTCTCATCTGTGCAAAGGCGCAGATTACATCATAGATATAGTAGCCTCTCTTTCAGAATAAGAGTCTCCACCCACCCTGGGTAGGAGGGGAGGGAAAGAGGGGGGGGGCAAGGGAGGAAAAAAGCAGGCTAGCAACAGGTTTGATGAAGCTGGAATCACTGGAAGTTTGGAGGGAGGGAGGGAGGGAGGGAATTGAGGCGAGCTGGCAGTGGCAGTGACATGGCATCATTAGGGAAGCGAATCTCGCCACCAAACACCTGCACCATTTCCCTGAACTTTAAGCGCCCGGCTATTTCTCTGCTTCTAACTTTCCTTGCAGGCTCCATCACATGGAGGGGAAGAGGTCAAGCTGCCAAGAAGACGGTTCTCTGCAGACCTCCAAGTGTCCCCGTTTTTCAGTGACACTCTGGGCCGGGTTTGCAGAAGCCGTCCCAAGTTTGCGATTTGATTTTCCTTAAGGTAGGGACACAGGTGGCGCTGTGGTCTAAACCACAGAGCCTAGGGCTTGCTGATCAGAAGGTTGGCAGTTTGAATCCCTGTGATGAGGTGAGCTGCTGTTGCTCGGTCCCCGCTCCTGCCAACCTAGCAGTTCGAAAGCACGTCACAAATGCAAGTAGATAAATAGGTACCACTCCAGTGGGAAGGTAAACGGCGTTTCCGTGCACTGCTCTGGTTCGCCAGAAGCGGCTTAGTCATGCTGGCCACATGACCCGGAAGGTGTACGCCGGCTCCCTCGGCCAGTAAAGCGAGATGAGCACCACAACCCGAGTCGGCCACGACTGGACTTAACCGTCAGGGGTCCCTTTACTTTTACCTTAAGGACCATTAGGTCCCATGACCATTAGGTCCAGTCACGGACAACTCTGGGGTTGCGGCGCTCATCTCGCTTTATTGGCCGAGGGAGCCGGTGTACAGCTTCCGGGTCATGTGGCCAGCAGGACTAAGCCGCTTCTGGCGAACCAGAGCAGCGCACGGAAACACCATTTACCTTCCCGTCGGAGTGGTACCTATTTATCTACTTGCACTTTGACATGCTTTCGAACTGCTAGGTTGGCAGGAGCAGGGACAGAGCAACGGGAGCTCACCCCGGTGCAGGGATTCGAACCGCCAACCTTCCGATCCTTGGCTCAGTGGTATCCCTATTGCTACTGTGCCCATTCTTCTTCCAGGCACGTCCGGCAGGTAGATTGTGATCTACCAGTAGATCACTGGACGTCTGTGGTAGATCACTGATAGATCACTGGCTCCCCTCAAAGAAGCTCAGCCACTTTGACCTGAACCCCCCAAAAGAGGGTAGATTACGGCCAGTTTTTAACTCCATGAGTAGATCGCAGTCTCTCGGGAGTTTGCCACCCCTGTGACAGATGACAGCAAAAACTGCAAGTTTTTTAGCAGGGGGCAATTAGAACTATTATTTAATTATTGAAGTAAACCTCCAAAATGCATTTTGTATGGTTAAGTTATTACCTCTATCTTCAGTATATTTAATTTAATTGTTATGACTAGTGGCTGGTGCAAATAAAGATTTTCCTGATCTGATCTGTTTTTGTTTGCTCTTTCTACAGATATTTTATTTCACTTCAAAGGGACAGAGATATATAATGTGCATTCATTGGAGAAAGAGAGGGTATGGAATTCAGCAACCCCCAAGTCAAGGAGATAAGTAACTTTAAAACCTTTAGAGGACATCTGAAGGCAGCCCTGTATAGGGAAGTTTAAAAAAAAAGAAGTTTTATGTTTTATTATGTTTTTATATATATGTTGGAAGCTGCCCAGAGTGGCTGGAGCAACCCAGTCAGATGGGCAGGGTAAAAATAATAATAAGATGATGATGATGATGATGATTGAAAAGGACATCCCTATTTTCATTGGAAAAAATGTTGGAGGGTTTGTTTCTGTAGAGGGAAGTGAGGCGCAGGTGGGGCTCGCCCACCTGGGAAGGGAGCCCATGCAGGAGAAGGAAAACACTGGTCCTAAATCTCCGCTGCCTTGCAGGATATCTTCGAGAGAAGAAAAGGCTCAGATGTAGACTCTCTGCAAAAATGAAGCAGAATCCCTGAGGCGGTTGGATAGTGCCTTGTACACTTCCTTTCGGCAACTTCTGCAGCCAAGCTGGTGCCAAACATCTTGTTCTGCTTTCCTTCGGACCACATCATCAAGGCTGAGAGCGGGGGTCTTGTCTAAGGTTACCAGACACCCCCGTTTCCCGGGGACAATCCCCGGATTTACAAATCAGTCCCCTGACAAAATCCATCTACAATTAGTTCCTCAGGTTAAGAACTTACAGTGGTACCTCGGGTTACATACGCTTCAGGTTACAGACTCCGCTAACCCAGAAATAGTACCTCAGGTTAAGAACTTTGCTTCAGGATGAGAACAGAAACCGTGCTCTGGCGGCAGCAGGAGGCCTCATTAGCTAAAGTGGTGCTTCAGGTTAAGAACAGTTTCAGGTTAAGAATGGACCTCCGGAACGAATTAAGTACTCAACCCGAGGTACCACTGTAATTTGTTCACTGGTAGCCTTCCCTTTTGCTGAATTAGCCCAACCCTCCCCTTTAATGTCATCAGGTGGCGCTGTGGGTTAAACCACAGAGCCTAGGACTTGCCGATCAGAAGGTCGGTGGTTCGAATCCCCACGACAGGGTGAGCTCCCATTGCTCAGTCCCTGCTCCTGCCAACCTAGCAGTTCGAAAGCACATCAAAGTGCAAGTAGATAAATAGGTACTGCTCCAGCGGGAAGGTAAACGGCGTTTCCGTGCGCTGCTCTGGTTCGCCAGAAGCGGCTTAGTCTTGCTGGCCACATGACCCAGAAGCTGTACGCCAGCTCCCTCGGCCAATAAAGCGAGATGAGCACCGCAACCCCAGAGTTGGACACGAATGGACCTAATGGCCAGGGGTCTCTTTAATCGCCGGACTATATTTTGAAGGAGAGGGGAATGAACCAATTCCTATGCCCCACAAATAACCCAGAGATGCATTTTAAATAAAAGCACACATTCTACTCGTGTAAAAACATGCTGATTCCCAGACCGTCTGCAGGCCAGATTTAGAAGGTGATTGGGCCGGATTTGGCCCCCAGGCCTTAGTTTGCCTACCCATGCCATAGGTTAACATGTGTGGTGCATGACAAGGCTCTTTTTTTTGTCTGTCCCAAATTTCCTGACATTCCTCTTCACTGGATGACCCAGGTTCTGATGTCCTGGGGAGTTTTCCCACCTGTGTGTCCATTTGTCTCACCTGATGCTATTAATTCTAGGCATATCCTCTCTCTCTCTCTCTCTCTCTCTCTCTCTCTCTCTCTCTCTCTCTCTCACACACACACACACACACACACACACACATCACCAATTCTCTAAGCTAAATCATAGAACTGTGGAGTTGAAAGGGCCCCCAAGGCCATATTGTATGGGTGAATCTTAATTTTTGCAAATTTCTTCTACAAGGGGTGTTAAAAAGATGTGAGGAATTCAAATCTGCTATTATTTTTGTGACCGGGCAACATTTTGCTTCGTAAGTTTACAGCTGAACGAGAAGCATGTCAAACTGCTTTCGGCAAACCAAAGAATTTTATTTTTACCTTCCGAAAATGTCCAGTAATACTAAATTTGCTATACCGTATTGGCCTGAATATAAGCCTCACTCCCCCCCCCCAAATTCTGACTGTGAAAAGTTAAAGTGCAGCATAAATGTGCAAGCTTACAAAAAATGTCTTTTACGATATCGCTGCTGAAACAGACATATGGTAAAATGGAACAGGTGCGAGTGCCTGCAGAATTTTAAGAGAGAGGATTATATTCGGGTACAGTGATACCTTGGTTCTCAAATGCCTTGGTTCTCAAACGCCTTGGTCCCCCGATGCCGAAAACCCGGAAGTAAGTGTTCCGGTTTTCAAACGTTTTCCGGAAGCCGAACGTCCGATGTGGCTGTTGGTTATTGTTTCCGGGGCACCTGCACCAATCAGAAGCTGTGCCTTGGTTTTCGAACATTTCGGAAGACAAATGGACTTCTGGAACTGATTAAGTTTTTGCTATTTACTTTGCGTTTTAGTTTTTGAGGCTTTTTCGGTTCATTTGTTTTTGTGACTGTGTGGAACCCAGTTCAGCTACTGATTGATTGATTGATTGATTGACTGATTGTGTGACTGCGGAAATGGATAAAAGCCCCCCAATCCCAAACATCAGTGCAGGCAAGGGGGAATTTTTTTTTTTAAATTTTTATCATCTACAATACTGTCTTATTTATTTTATAGCACAGTACATTGATTATTGCTTTCATTTTTATGGATCAATGGTCTCGTTAGATAGTAAAATTCATGTTAAATTGCTGTTTTAGGGGTCATTCTTAAAAGTCAGGGAACGGATTAATCTTTTTTCATTACTTTCTATGGGAAACGGATTAAGTTTGAGAACCAAGGTACCACTGTATTGTCTTTTTTCTCTCCCCCCCCCCTGAATTTTAAAGGTGTGGCTTATATTCGGGCCAATATAGTATTATAAATCCTTTTAAAGCATCATCTTTTATATGTTGTTAGCTTTCTGTGTTTTATTCATGTTTGTTTTAATTTTTGTGAGTCACCTTGAGTCCTGGTATTGGGAGAAAGGTGGGATATAAATAAAATTAACAACAACAACAACAGCTTCAAATACTTGGCAGTCATTTTTTTAACAAGTTCTATGCAATTTTACAAACATTTTACTTACCAAGCGAAACTAAACTATATTAATTTAACCAAAACATCTTTCAAATTCCCAGTTCAAGTTACAACTTTTTAGCACCCTTGATTTTTCGGAATTTGAAAGCTGAAAAATTCAGCACACCTTAGTCTAGCAGGAATCTCAACACTCAGGGATTGCATAAATATTGGGGGGTGGATATTGTTTTTGTTTGCTACTATGGTATGTATTCTCGTGTTTTATATTGTAAACCACCCTGGGATACTTGGATGAAGGGCGGTATAGAAAGGACTTTGGTGGAGAGGGAGAGACCAGGGGCCTGGAGCA